TGTGTGTGTGTGTGTGTGTGTGTGTGTGTGTGTGAAGGAGGGAGGGCAGGAGACAGAATACTGCTTCACGGTGTTTTTAGTTATTAAACCTTGAGATAATACTACTTATTACCATGCAATTGGCTGAGAGTCAAGGGATTTTTTAATTCATATTTTTGGAGGGGGGGGGGCGATATTGATTGAGGTTGTTATGGCCGCGTCCTTTTACTCTCATCAAGTTACCTTATAATATTCGTGGTGAGATGACTTGTCACAAACAGCAAATCAGCGTCTGTGGAGTAGCAGTTAGGAACACAGATAACCGGAGTTGGATTCCCGAGCTGGGAGAAATTTTTATTGATGATCTCGGTCTTTCTGCTAGGATATTGTACCTCTGTCAGCCCGAATTAGCGCTATCAGGCAGGATCGTAAACCTGCTTCCTAAATGATCTACATGGTGTCGATGGAGGTGTAAGAAAAACTTACATTAAAAAAGAAAAATTAGAACCCCACTCAGCCAGTTGGAGGGTGCCACTGATAGGTCCTTTTGTACACTCCTTCTTGTTTCTATCTGTCAGTCGTACTTTTCAACAAGCACTAATTTAATTACCGTTGTAGTCTCCGGCAAGCTCCTGTTTGCTCAAATAACTTTTTGCGCAGGAACTAAACCATATAATTTCAACCTGTTAGGTGAACTGGCACCCCGTGTTCTGGGGTTTCACCCTGCAGTTTTACTTTGCTGTCGTCATCCTCAAAACTCGCTGGGGCTATGAAGCTTTCAAGTGGCTGGGCGAAAGGGTCACAGAATTCCTCTCCTACAGGTAAGCCAAACCATCAATAATTAATTTAGTTATAGAGGTACCAGCCATCCATGTTTAGGTGCAGCTGTTGTAGCCTCTTTCTCCTGTCTGTGAAACAGGCAAGCCACAGTGTGTTCAACAATACATAAAGGGAACTTTAGGACAAATTCGAGTCATTTGGGGGGTTGAACAGGAAGCAGAAATTTGCGCCGGTTTTCTGATGGTATCGATGGTGCTTAAGCATATCTGACGGGACCCGATCTTTGATGGAACAACCAAGTAATATGATACAATTTTCGGTCTGCATTAGAGACCTTTTCCTTCAAAAACATCGAGATTATTTTGCAGGAGTTGTTTGTTTTTTGTTTGTTTGTTTGTTTGTTTGTTTTTTTACACCGACAATTATTGTTTTAAGTCATAGGAAGCAGTCTTGGTACGTGTTACCTCCCCCCCCCCCCTCCTTTCCCCCCTCACTTAGAAATTGAAAATTGTTTGTAGAGTCCTTAGGTTCATGTGGACAAAATGAATTCATTTAGCCACACCTGGAAGGCTTATTCGATACCACCATCATTGATACCACCAACTTAATCCGGCGCAAATTTCAGAACCCCTTTGGATGAGAAGTGTGTTTGTGATTGTTATTGTTTGTTTTGGGGGGGGGGGGTTTCAAATGCACATGATCTTTACCGTCCTTCAGTTCCGAAAAATAATATCTATGGAAAGGTTACTGGGTATTCTATGATTTGATAGGATATCGCAGTGTACAACGTCTTAGCTGCATGTGTTGACCTTGTTACCTTGTAACTGCAGATAGAAAATTACATTTTATTTTCAAACCTTTACATACATGCAAAGAAGGGGGAACAAACACATCTCAGAAATTCAATTCAACAAAATAATATGCTAAAAATCCAAGCCATTTTATCACATATTTAGGACGACATTTATATAAGTAACTTAACAGGCTTAAAGGTTATAATGGAAAGAGTGTGGGGAGGGGGGCGGTGACGCTTTCTTTCGTTTATCTTGTAACAGGAGCCAATGCTGCCTTCAAAAAGATCTGTAGAAGGTGCTTTGATGAAAGTAAATTTTGACCTGTGATGATGATGATGATGATGATGAACATCCATGCCTAAACGAACAGTTGATTAAATATGACCAACCCTACCCAAGTCTGAAGTTCATTTGTTTCTACTTTAAAAATCGATGATGATGATGATGATGATGAGAAGGAAGAGGAGGAGGAGTAGGGGGAGGAGGAGGAGGGGGGAGGAGGAGGAGGAGGAGGAGGGGAGGAGGAGGAGGATTCCAGAGTTGTTATAAATATTTTCCCAGATGTTCATGACGAAGCCTGCATTACGAATGATTGAACTTTTATCATACTGTTATAAATATTGGAATTCTACAGTCTCTACTGATTTTTGTTTGCCTTTTTTTATCTTCGTACTTACAACAATGATGACGACGACGACGACGACGGTAATAATAATGATGATGATGATGATGATGATGATGATGATGATGATGATGATGATGATGATGATGATGATGATGATGATGATGATGATGATGTT